TCAGCTAAATACTTTCCTACTCAACGAATGTTCACGCAGAGGACTGCCTTCATTGAGAATTTTAATCTGTTCTGGAATAGGATGAGCTTTTTGAAGGGAAAGGGCCACATCTGAACACTTACGGAGTAAAAGTGCTGATGGATAACCTTTCTTTTGCCCTGAGATTCAGCCTGCGCAGCGCGTGCAGCCATCGAAAGGGAGGAAGCCGACTCCAAAAGTCTCTGCACCTCCACCACCTCGAAGGATCTCAACACCACCCACCACTCGAAGGATCTCAACACCACCACCACCTCAAAGGATCTCAACACCACAACCACCTCGAAGGATCTCAACACCTCCACTGTCATCAGAAGCAGCTGCATCATCACCAGCAGCAGCTGCATCATCACCAGCAGCAGCTGCATCATCACCAGCAGCAGCTGCATCATTACCAGCAGCAGCTGCATCATCACCAGCAGCAGCTGCATCATCACCAGTAGCAGCACGACCACCATCCTCATCCCCAGCCTGCTCCAAAGCAGCCACGCCTTCTTCATCTACAGCGCCTCTGAAGCCCCAATCCTCACCCCCCAGCCTACAGCAGACAGGCCTGTGCTGGGGTTTCTCAACCCCATGCCCTCCATTAAAGACTCCCTCGCCACCTCCCAAGGACTGTCTTGGGTCCCCCCTGCCACGTCCACTCCATCAAGAGAGAATGGGGACACCTCCCTTTGTTTTTCATCCCCGCCTTCACTGTTAGACCTACTGAAATCACTCTGCAGGGCTAATAAAATCGGCGATGAAGACTATTCCTCTCACACCCATATTAGCTCGATCTAGAGTCCTGTCCAACATTCTAAACCACTCCCATATGTACCTCCAAAACCACCTAGGGTTTCCAATTCACCTACAAAACACCTCAGCCAGTCCCTCCCCTAACCTCATGACCTATTCCACCCCACTTCCCCTCGTTCAACATCCAAAACCTCTGCCTCAGCCCACCCCGGCCCTAAACCCATCACCTAAATTTATAGGCTTAGGGTAGTGACATATTGCACTTTAGGTTTTAGGAAGTGAAAGTATGGAAAGATTTTGGGGTAATCTCTGTTTTGGTATTAACTGTTTTTTTTTTGGTCCCTAGAGGTCTCCGATGGCGCTGCCCTGAGTCTATTTTGGGCTGTTTAATGTTTTATGTCTGCTGTTGTTTATGCAAATATATGTAGTGTAAAGCATGTAAACCCGTGTCCCAAGACAAATTTCTCCTATTGGGGGCAATAAAGGATTATCTTACTGATGCCATTTTGTATCAGGACAGTGAAATATACCATTCAGTAATGCTATGGATGTTTACCAGCTTCACCATTTCACATCCATTTGTCTTTATTATGTAAATATGATCTGCGTGTGAAAGGCTCATGTCGTTTTCAGTCCATCTCTGACCTTTTCCCGACGTCTTTATCACGGACATGTGTTGAACATACGCCGCTCCCTCCTCTGCCCGCTGTTCCGCTCATTGCATTCACCTCTCAATCCAACTGTCCATGCTGGGATCACACGGGTTTCCATTATCCAGCTAAAGGCCAGTGCCAATCCACAGCTTGGCATCATGGGGGAAACTGGGAGCGGCGGAGGTCTCCAATCCAAAAAGTGCAGTCTTATTGTATTAGCTGGCTTCACAAGAGTTGCAATTTTCAGGCGCTTGGCGGGTTGTGACGGAGATAAGAGAGCTGAAAAACAAATGGAAAATGGTCTATTCTCGTCCCCTGGGGTTCCACAACTGTTATCTGGAAATACACGGCAACAGATTGGAGCAGGCTAAGTCGACGTCTGAAATGATATTGCTTTATAACTCAAACTGGTTAAATGAAAACATCAGAACGGTATCGACAGTTAGAAGTCAAAAGGTCCTAGACCTAATTTACCACAAAACATTGGACGAATGCTTTTTTATTCACACGTCGGAGTAAGTTTGGGATGAATGTTATACAGTAGTGGTGGTACAGTGTATAGAAATTACCAGTTATTTTGATGTCTTCACTTACAGGTTAAAAAAACAAAAAAAATTACAGTGAAAAAAACAAGCATAGCACATCTAATAATATATTTTAGTTTTGACATGATATGAGAAAAGGTGATTATCACATTTCCACAAAATTGCCAACAAATCTTGAACCAATGTTTTTTTTTAAATATCCAGATATGTAGCTTCTTCAGCCGATCAAACAGTCTTTCCATTTCAGTTTGAAGCCTTTTTACAGAGCACAGAAACCTCTCATGCAGATCACATATTTCAAGTTATAAGACTTGAAATGAGTACACTGATTTTTAGTTCCTTTTGGATGCCGTGCTTAATTTATCACCCTTTTATTGCTTCATTAACACCATTGCCAAGACGACAGTAAGAGATACTGTTTTAAAATTGCGTCTTGGCTCGTCGTTTGAAAAACAGTACAGTCTAAGGAAAGTGCCACCAGGCTGCTCCTTATGTTGATGTGTTTTCCATGGCAGCGTGCCCAGTAACTACCGAACGGGAAACCGCTGGGAAACCCCCCGGAGAAAATCCAGAGAGCCATTTTGAATAATAGCTTCAAGTATTTCTGGGCTTTCTGCTGCCTGACAAACATTCTGAGTTAATCTACATTCATGGTGTGTTATGGGTACAGTGTCCGGGGCTGCGGGGAGCGCGTAGCAAAGGCGTGGGGAAGTGTGACATCTCAGCTGGAGACTGGCACTGTGCCCACCGGCCCCTGGCTCTTCATAGCAGGAGGGAGGCACATGTAGGCCACCAGAGCACAAGAGTCCATGCCCCGGCCCCCTGACAAACCTGGCCATCCGCTCACTACTGCCTCTGGACACTGGAATGTAGGGACGATGAGGATTCTGCTAATGGCATGAGGCTTTGAGAATGAGGAGGGATGCGGCATGCTAACAAATGCTAAAAACAAGAACCAGTTCGTTTTGAACCTCAGAGAGCAATTTAAACTGAGCCACCCTGAAAGTTTTAGATAATTGTTTTTTTATTTTTGTTAGCTGCTATCTTATTAGTTTAAGTTTTTAAAGGTTGTTATTTGTCCCCGAAGGGCAATTTACTGTAATAGAACAGTAGTAGCTTAAACCACACAGCAGGTCATCTCATTATACAATCAATAAAAGAAACGGAATGTAAACTAGTGGTTTTAATTCTTCGTTTAAGAAAAATAATCGCGGTTCTCATGTGGAATTGCTTGTACTAATGTGTTAAAAGAATAGGTTCAACATTCACATTCAATGTTCTCTTATAAAACCATTCCTGAATGTGTCCATGTAACAAAGATGTGTGTAATGCTACTTATGCTAACGTATCTTATCAAGCGAAAATTCAAGGTAACTTTTTTACTCAGGCACTAACTTTTTCACACAATGCATTGCCACCTAAAATTGCAAAATGCACACATTTAAGGCTTGCATCTTAGTTCATGTAATTGTGCTAATAAATCAAGCTCACGTCAGACCACTACTGTAGGTTTCTGTCAGGGCGCTAGCGTTTACGAAAATGCATTGCTGGTGATAAACTGTGAGTTAGCCACATAGCATTTAGCTCTTTGTCCACATGGCCCTCTCTTTTGTCTATGACTTAATTATAAAATCAATTCCCCCTAGTTTTCTGTTGCTGACCCCTCCAGTGCCGCTCCAACATAGCCCTACACGGAACATTAATTGGCGCATTAAATGACTGCAGACAGTGTGCATGCTATCAGTGCGGGGTGATATATTTTCACATGGGGAGCGGTGGCAGATGGTTAGCGACACAAGAGCCGTCATGGCCGCAGCTGTCTCTTCTATCCGGGCCAGTTTCTCACTCTCTCATATTGATTGCTATTGATTCTGGGCCTTCTGTCTGCAGCTGTAAACTAATACTGCTGCCGTGTCAATGTGTCCATTGCTGTTTTACAGATATGAGGGAAAGCAGCAGGTACAAATTTATGGATTGGAATCATTTTGTAATTCTTTGTAATAGCGTAAGTGTTTGTGTGATGTTTTTGAGTCTGCAGCAAGAAACATTTCCAGAAGAGGAATGCTATTTCATCAAACATGCACATATTGTAGCTGTTGTTTCATTTGCCAAAACTTGGAACCCCACTTGAACCAATCCTCCGGATGCTCCGGTTTCCTCTATCACTAAAAACCGGTACAATAGAATGCCCACAACAATTGTAAAGCGCTTTGTGATTACTTACTAATACCTACTTACTTCCTTTCAGATAGTTACTTCAGTTCATATACTTTTTAATATTCACAGACATATTTACCGTCAAAAAGTTGATCTACTTTGGATTAAGGATTTCCAGGCATACGCAAAACCCTTAACCTGTCCCTTTAAGGTAGTAACGATCTGTACCGAAATCCCTCAGAGACGCTGAGTATTGTTGCACACTTGAAACCTAAACCATTCGTCACTTCAGCTAATTTCTCATATTGATCGAGCCTTGCAGCTGCTCAGTCTGTGCTGGCTGTGCTCTTAACAGGGTCTTTTACACTCTCACTATGTCAATGTTGGTCCAGAGCGATAATTGTACCCCCGTAAATCCACTGGAAAGCCATCGGCATATTGAGAGAAAGTGATTAAAGTGTGTGTGTTGGCTAAGAACTGCTGGTTTTACCTGCTGTGGTATTGTTATGTCTATAGCTGCATTTAAAGACCATAACTAAGCCTCTTTTTATTGTGGGGTAGTAAATCTGCGGCTTATTAGGTTGTTGACCATGCATCGAGACTTGGTGGAGTTCAATTGTATAGAAACACAGTAACGTTTAACATACTTGGTGAATCTAAACAAGGGATACATTTTTGCATTGGACAATACATTCCAAGACTTTTCAGACTTAATTTTTACTACATTAAAAAAACATTTATGTTATGTATGTTTGTTTGGATGATGTATTTTTGGTGCTGGACCCTTTCATTTCTCCTACAGGTGATCGATTAAGTATCAATTAAGTATGATCATCATTCTCCTCTCTCCACAGGTCCATGGGGACGGTGCATGGGAAGCGAGTGTGGTCCTGGTGGCAGCCAGAGCCGGGCGGTGTGGTGTGCCCATTCCGAAGGCTGGACCACCCTTCACACCAATTGCGACCAGTCCCAACGCCCCAACAACCAGCAAGGGTGCTTCAGGGTCTGCGACTGGCACAAAGAACTTTATGACTGGCAGTTAGGGGCATGGAACCAGTGTGTGCCCATTTCAATGCGAAACTCCGGGGTTCAGCGTCCGGCGGTCTGTACCAGAGGGGATGAGGGGATCCAGACTCGTGAAGTCGGTTGCGTAAAAAAATCTGATGCCGAACCAGCAGAAGACGCAATTTGTGAATACTTTGAGCCCAAACCACGCCTCGAACAAGCTTGTCTTATCCCTTGCCCACGGGATTGTGTTGTGTCCGAGTATGGCCCGTGGACTTCTTGTTCCAAAACTTGTGGTCTGGGCCTTCAAAATCGCATCCGTTCTGTCTTGGCACCGCCTTTATTTGGGGGTTCAGCCTGCCCGAATCTCACAGAGTTCCAGACCTGCCATTTGGGACATTGCAGCGGGGAGGAGAGTCTCTACAGCTTGAGGGTAGGACCTTGGGGGCCTTGCTCAGTTCCACTACTAAGACAAGCAAGGCAAGCCGTCAAAGCGTTCCGGGATACGGATAAGCCACGCAGAGGTGAAAGAACTGGCAAAGATGGTGACAGAGAAGACGTTAAGCTTGCAAAAGATATTGACAGACCTCCAAGAAACCGAGACAGACAAGGTAGGAAGGAGAAACTCGCGAAAGATGAAGCCAAGCCACCGAAGGCAGCGGATAAAGTGTTGAAAGAAAGTGAAATCCTTCAAACAGACGATATTCTACCCACACTGGAGACTGTGGAAACTGACAAACTGGAAAGGGAGGTCGAGAAACGTCCCAAAGAAGGAAAAGTCAAAAACAAGAAGGACAAAGCCAAGAGAAAACTAGCAAAACTGGCTAACAGGAACCCGGACAGGCCATCCCGTCAAGCTGACAAGGCAAAACGCAAAGCCAAAAAAGCAAAGAACAAAGAGAAGAGGGAGAAGATGCGAGAGAGAGCACAGGAGAGATTGAAAGACAAGGGGAAATTAAAGGATCCAGAGACGTCAGAGTTGATTAAGAAGAAAAGGACCAGGAACAGACAGAACCGGCCTGGAGGGAAGTCTTGGGCTCTGCAGATCGGGTACCAAACCAGAGAGGTGAACTGCGTACACAAGAGCGGCGAGGTGGAGGCGCTAAGGTAAGCGATCTTTTCTTTGTATGAATGTCAAATTAAAGCTGGGGTACTTCACTTTTTCTCTCTCTATAATGATACATGTTGTTTGTCTTAACAGAAAGGGTCTTGTGAAAGTACATTTTGAACCAATCAGGCCACTGCATGCTGTATTCATCTTAGTAGAAAACAGGTTACATTTTGTATTCTGATAAGATCGAGCCCTGTGACTCATTATTGGTCACTATGGGCTGAGTGAGTCTGAAAAAACACATATATAGACCTACACTATTATACAGCCAGAGGCTAGATATACTGGATTCAATAATATAAATGTTTCTTTTGGTGGGAACGTACTGATTTAAATGGGGCTTGCTAATGATTATCTTATGAATGGGTGCTTTCAATAAGGAATTGCTTACGGTTATATATTATATACATAGACTATATATTTTGTTATATCAATAAAGGCATGAAATGACTCGATTGAATTTAGGAACCCACATGATTACTGTTACAAATCTGTGGAGTCAAAGGATACAGACGTCTTCTCCTTTTTAATCAGGATCAATGTTTTTCATAAATGATTTCAAAATGTTCAGAATATGTATGACCTGCTTTCTGAATTGGGACGTCAAATTATCACTCACTTGGCTATAGAGGTTAACCAATAGCAGGAGCAGTGAACAATCACAGGGGTGTTATACCAGAATTTAAAATACGAAGACCATCCATTTGTGGGTAAATGGTAAATCTGACATTTCTGTACTTGCATGCTTAAAAATGGTGGATTTACTTTCAAATGGAAGGAGGACAAGACCAATGAGAGCAGAGAAAACAAGTGCTTAATGCAGCCATGACATTTAGCTCTCAATCCCCTGGAGAAGCAGGTCTGCAGCAGGGACGTGCGGTGAGGTTTGTGATTGGGGAGGCACTGACTTTAAAAGTCAGATTTACAATCATTATTCAAATAAAATAGCATTTAATCACCAATGCAATGACATCCACAAACTTTATATACTGTAAAGATAAGAGAACCAGCTTCTTTTAATAATCTCACACCAAATCTAGCTGCTGACTCTGCTCCGCATCAAACAACATCTTTAAGAAGCGCAGGTGCGAGAGACGCGAGGAGAGAGAGACGCGAGGAGAGAGGAGCAGAGAGAGACAGAGAGGAGCAGAGAGACGGAGACGCGAGGAGCAGAGAGAGACGGAGACGCGAGGAGAGAGAGACGCGAGGAGAGAGAGACGCGAGGAACATAAACAATAATTTAAACAAGTTGCAGAACTCTTGAGCAGTGTTTGAATCAGTGTTTTTCGGAAAAGCACTACTTTGCCGGTATCTGTCAATGTTCAACATAAAACACAGATTAACAAACTCCTCCCCCGCAGCCGGACTAACCTCGTAAGTCCAGTGGTGGTCTCCCAGTCTATATTAATTCTTTCTTTGTTTGAAAGTCCAATTGAGAAAAAAAATCTTCATTCAAATCATCCATTTTCCAGCAAAAGAAATAGCATTTTGGGCTGATTGTTTGTTAGCAACTCTGGTATGAACTTTATGCTCACTATCACCCCTAGCGGTGAGGCACAGATACCGCCTGCCTCACGCCAAGCTTTTTCCTTGTGTGTTCATCTACGATCAAAAGACTTAAACTAAATATAAATTGTACACACATACGTGCAATAAACTACTAAACACTAAGAGGAGTTTAAAAAATGTTTTTAAAGCAGGATATTTGAAACAAACGGTGATATATCAACTGCACGAGCTGAGTGCACTCAGACACACACACACACACTGTGAGGGAGCGGTCTGGGGTGAGGCACGCAGGAGCGCTGCCTCACCTCGTCTCTTTGAATAGGAATAACGGGATTTCGGCGATTTTGACTTCAGAAATGATCAAAACTGATGGGAACCGTGCCGAATATACATTAAAAGCATAGGACAGTGGATATAAATTATATATTTAAACTAAAATAATTATTAGTTTCCAATAATGGCAGGTGAGGCTCTGCCTCCCCTGCCTCCCCTGACTGCACGTCCCTGGTCTGCAGTGTCCATAGACTTTGGTTTTACTCAGTGTGACATGACAGCAAGGCTTTGGAGTGGAAGAATAAAGGAGATCTTGCAATATTGGCATATGATGGTCTAACCTTCTATCTCCTACTTATTTAAAGTTATAGAAGGGCAAGGAGCTACATAGACAAAGGTATTTGACTTTATTGGTCCTGGCCAAGAATCACCCCACCTTTGATGAAAGCTAATAATGATGTCCTTTTTATCATATTTTACGGACTTGAAAGTTTGTGAACAATTTAATTTTTCTTTCTTTCACATCTGTAGTTTAGTCAAACAAGTAATTGCATGTAGAATTAACTTGTGAAAGATGAAACAAAGCCACTCAAATCCTCAGTCCATAGCTACCTGAAAGTGACATTAATCCAGCGCTGTTCTAACTCTCAGAAGTGGCGGAAAACAACCAAACAATCTGATAAAAAAGTCGAATCAAAGAGAAAAGAAAACAGCCCAAACTGTTTCATCTCTAGGGGTTTATCGTCCCAATGAATAAATTAAAATCAAAATAATAATCATTGACATTGTGGCATGCAGATAATGACGCAGGAGGCCATAACCATGCTTCCAATGATATGTTCTAATGAAGGAGATTACATTTGAATGCTCACTTCATTCCTCTGGGTGCGTTTCAACCATCGAAAGCCATCCCCTGCTTAGCTTGTGCGTGACACTATTTGACCTGTCAGAACTCATATCAGTCATACGTACTTTCTACTAGACTTTATTCCTTCAAGTTATTAACCCTGTGTTTACTCAGACCCATTCGTCGCTCAGTGCAAACATAAAGGCAGAATTTAGGGCCGATTTGGCTGCATGGATGTTGTACTCCATGACAAATCGCTGCAGACATACCCATAATATATTGTACGATTTAAGGACGTCACGATGGCTGAGTCATATCACCACCAGCCAGGAGAACAATCACAGTCGGTTTGAATTAGTGCCTCATCCGCATCATGTTTACTGCTGTCACTAACATGATTCGCTGGTGGAGATGAGGAGCATGTTGCTGTATGTACGGTTCATAAAAAGAAAAAAAAAAGACATTCAAAGAGGCCTCACATTATACTGGGCAAATCTGTGGAGAGGTTACAAGCATCCATTTTCGAACAGGATTTATTTTTCTAATTTTGCTTCCTGGCGTTATGTCAAATCAACTTGTCATATTATCGTGAAAAGCAAATCTATAGACCAGGGGTGCCAAACCGGTCCTCAAATGCTGGTGTGGCTGCAGGTTTTAGTTCCAACCTGAGCAGGAGCACACCAGACTTAAGATTTGAGGAAATGGGTGGAGTCTGATGTACTCCTGCTCAGGTTAGAAATAAAACCTGCAGCCACACTGGCCCTTTCTGAAACCGATCTTACACCCTTGCTACAGACAAATATGACACAATCAGTGTTTCCCACACATAGACTAATCTGTGGCGCACCGCCACAGATTAGAGACCGCCCGCCACAAATTGCGTTTCGTATTATTATATATATATTTTTTTTGTTACGCTATTTAAAACATGCATCGTCTAGTGCCGCCGCAGCGGTCAATTTGACAGCGGGGAGGGGGGTTTAAAATGTGGCGGCCCTTCGTAACTCTCACTCAAGCTACGCGTCTCTCCCACATACAGAGACCTACACACACACAGCCCCTCCCCTTCGTGCACACCGCGTGTCTCCGTCTCCATCAGCGATCATCGCTGTAAGCAGCTGTGTCTATTAATTTACCGCGGTAAAGTGGCCCGCATCTTTCAGCTCTATGAACATGCGGCCCGCATCGGGGAAAAGACGGTGCGCGTTTTGTTGAGAACTTACGGTAACAGCGGAACGTCCTTTCGGAGTCACCCATTTTTATCGAACAGAAAGCGCGCTGGGGTCAGGAAGACACGTTTTTGTGATTAAAACCTTATAGAGATGCCACCCGGCACACATAGCACCAGCCCCCTACGATTCCTCCGGCAGATTGTGAGTCCTCAGGAGGATAGCCACTCTATTGTTTACATGTATAAAGTACACAATTTGGTCCGCTAGTGCAATTTTCAAGTATTGTAACTATTTACTGGAATAAGGTGTGCGACTAATTTCACTTGACTCATGACCTTATTATTGCCCTCTGCCACTGTACCAAAGACCAGAAACTTTTACTGTAGAAATATTGAGAAATATTGAGGTAAAGTAGCCATTTTGGTCCAAAATACCTCCAAAATAGTCAAAACATGTCACTTTTGATCTACTGTAACTTTTTACTGTAAAAAGGTGTGCGACTAATTTCACTGGATTCATGACCTCAAGATTGTCCTCTACCACTGTACCAAAGACCAGACACTTTTACTGTAGAAATATTGAGAAATATTGATTTAAAGTAGCCATTTTGGTCCAAAATAGCCTAAAAATGGTCAAAACATGTCACATTTGATCTACTGTAACTTTTCACTGTAAAAAGGTGTGCAACTGATTTCACTGGATTCATGACCTCAACATTGCCTTCTACCACTGTACCAAAGACCAGACACTTTTACTGTAGAAATATTGAGAAATATTGAGGTAAAGTAGCCATTTTGGTCCAAAATACCTCCAAAATAGTCAAAACATGTCACTTTTGATCTACTGTAACTTTTTACTGTAAAAAGGTGTGCGACTAATTTCACTGGATTCACGATCTCAAGATTTTCCTCTAGCACTGTACCCCCACTCCCCCCCCCCCCCCCCCCGCCGACGACCACCACACATTGCCTTCAAACCTGTGGGAAACACTGCACAATATATTCTAGCCTCCTTTCCTTGACCATCAAATGTTGTGACATTTGTTTACCAGAAAAACACAAGTTAAAAAGATACTATATGTAAAACTGCTCACTTTCTCAAAATACTGTACTTTGAATGAAGCACATCATGTTGTTCCTACACACAAACATACATTATCCATAACTTGTGTTGTAGTAGGGATTGAGCGACCAATTTCGATTTTCTGAACAAGTACTGATATGTTATGTAATCTGTTATTTTCTTAATTGTGATAGTACGCATGTGGCACTCAAAAGCCAATGAATGAATTGTAAAACAGTCATAAGGTGGAGCTGAAGTTGCTTGATTGAAAACTGGTGTCTTTGCATCATTGGATGATACATTTTAGAAGTTCAATGCCATAAAATGCTCTGAAAAATGAACTTTTTACTAAAATCTCTCCTGATTACCAATGTCTTTCAAGACGTCTGTTTTAATCAGCACAAAAAAAATTCTAGTATATCTATCAATATCTAGTTTTTAGCTTAATATCGAAAACTAGAGGATGTATTAACTTTGAAAACAAAAATTCAACCAGTTTGCCAGTTCTTAACAAGAGACTTAGAGTTTTAAAGGTGCACAATGTAACTTTTTCAGGATGAAGGGTAGGCTTCAAGAATTTGATAGATAACCGCCTATTCTCACTTCATATCAGCAATCGTCATGACAACACATCGCTTGCTCTCTCCATCTCTGAGAGTCGCTGGGGGCCCTAGTCCACATAGCTGTCCTCATTCTGTCTGGTGGCCCACGATAAATCCCCCCCACCTCCCTCCACACAACAACAACTGCACCGTTACCCTGTTCAGAGCAGGTCAACTTCATAAACCAATTCCAAACTCCCTTGCGAAACGGAATGTTGACATTTGTATATGGATTAATAGCTGCTTTGCAATATTTGGTCACATTTTGGAAGCTTTGCTTGGATCACAGATGGCAGTGGAGAGCTTAAAAAGGCTTATCGCTCACTGGTGGCTGTAGAAATGTTGGAACTGAACCAGGATCCGGTTTGTTTACCGTCTGCGGCACCAGTGAGGGAATTCCCACTTTAAAATGGGATAACACTGCTAATTATCCGCTGCGAAATGTGCCCTGTGCATGGTGATTGTGCTGTGTGTTCCGCCTGCTGTGGTCTCTATGGGTGATTGGAATAAATGAAGCGCATTGTTTTTGCTTGCCTGTTTGCCGGTGTATTGATAATTAAAGCAAGAGGGAGGGGAGTTGTACTAATTTGTATCTTGATCAATCTGAGGAGACAACATCTCATTATTAGTCAGCTACAAATTGCATTTTAAAACGTCATAACGTTTGCGTTGGTGATTTGCTCAGGTATTCCAGTTTTAGGAGTACGAGAGTTACAATGAACACTTCAATGACATACAATTGAAAATGCCTAAGGGCAAGCAAAATAAGACAGGACAACAACTATTGGGAATGTAATTGGAAAATGTGGTGTTTTGCCATGTCAACAATTTAAATCAAAATAAATAATAATAATAATAACAATAAAAACATTCTGAAGATTACATTGCTTTATTTTTTTCACATGTATTGACCATTATTTTAGTTTAAGCGGTGTAGGGCATGTTTCAGGGCTATGCTTTTACTGGTAGGGGATACCAGACCACCCGGAGGACACCTATGCTGTCACAGGGAGAACATGCAAATTCCCTATCTCTGTGCTGATCCAGATTCAAACCTGCTGCTAACCACTCTGCCAACTAAACTTCCTAGGAGTTAAGTCCAGACTGCCTAGAAAAGGTCAGCCGGGACTTTACACCTTGAAAGTTAAGTCCATATCTTGTCCATAAACCGTTGTCCATAAACTTTGTCCTGTTGTTGCAAAATTCTAAAGTTTACCATTGCTAAACTCCACAACTTTGGAACCACAGGAAAGATGTCTCAAAATTATTTATCGTGTGTTCTCGCCGCAGTAATCAAAGCAAGGGAAAATGAACCATAACCGCACGCTGCTGCTAACTCCAAACGAGTCAGTGCAACACCAGCAGCATCACACACCACCTTATCCACAACACAGCAAAACTCACATCTGAAGTGTCCTGCGGTGGAGCCTCTGCAAGGGCGCCAGATTGGGTCTATGCAGACTTCAAAGTTTACCAAAGAATTGTAAATGTTGGTGTCATGTTTTGGCAAAATGACCACAGATATTAGAGACACGATTGAAGTAGACTTTTTGATCCCACAAACCAAAAGTCTGTGCATGCAAGGAAGGAATTACAGACAAATACATTTAAAATTATTTCTCTGCTGGTTATATATTTTAGTTTCTCTCCGTACAAAGTGAGTTACAGACACAGATCTAACTTGTAACCTGGCAACTTGCTGTTTGCTATCGATGAAGAGATGGACAGATTACATTTAGACCATACACCATGGAGTATTGCTAATATATGTGGAAATTACATCTTGGTAAACTAAAATATCAAAAGAAACCAATCAATCAACCATCAATGTTTCTTTATGGCATACATAAGCAAAATATTAGATCAACGCCAGGGACATATACGTATTTAACATATTCAAGTTAATTAAAATGTTCTGTAAAACTACTCATGTAAGCTTTAAAGTCTGTATGAGTCATGAGATCATACTGTTGAGAAATATTTATTGCAAAATAAATATTTGAGCATATTTTACCCACAGTGGGAGGTTTCACACTGAGACTTTGACCAATAACTATTAATAAATCATAGCTGCATAACATTAGCAGCATTAATGCTACTTACTGACAGTATTCTCCTGTTATTTCTCAGATCAATGTATTTTAGGCGTTTGTGCTTCCAAATCACAAATATGTTCTTATTGAAGTGATGCTGTTCCTAGACATTTCAGTGGGAGGTGATTTTGGAACAGCATTCTGCCATAAAGAGACTCATTTTGGCTGATATTACACAGAACATTGGCTTTGAGTGGTTTCAAATAAGAGTGTACTTCCAGTTGAATCTGGGCATGTTTTATTTATTCATACTTCTGTGCAAACGTGTCACATTTAATATTTAACAATCCACCCGTTTCTAATTGCGATATTTCTGTCCAACATTGATTGGTTTGTTTATAAAATCTGTTCAGGGTAAAACTGTTTCATCTGAAGCAAAGTACTTATGAAGCAATTACCTCATACACAATTCACCTTCCCACACATTTTAGAATTTATTTTATATATTTTTCTTATATTATTAGAACTATTTTATTTATGTTGTCATTCAACCAATTGTTGAAGATACCAACATTGGTTAACATCTTGTAACGCTATTTATTGTCTATGATGTATTTATGTAGAGTTTTTTTCTGCTGCTGCAACCAAACCAAAGTCTTTTGAGGTTAATAAAGACACCTTGAACCTTGAACTCACCATTTTTGGTTTTTAACAATCTTTGGTTTAGCGCCTTCTATGATCCTGGTGTCTTAACAAATCCAGGTGCGCCATAAGGATAGACCATTCAGATGCTTTCATTCACAGGGGAAACTCCAGCTTGCCTTAGCAACCATGTTAAGAACATGTTCTTTTGCATTTTTACTACAAACCCATATAAGGGAATTGGCTCCCACTAACCAATGTTAAAATCTGCTTCTGCATTCGGCAAACACTATGAATGACATCAGCACTCAGTTAGTCCAAACATACCATCAATCTGGCTGACAAAGACCTTTTGTAGCAGCTTTCTTCTGGATTGTAATGAAAGAGAAATTAGCACTCAAGGACTCAAAGTCTAACTTTAGACACTTACCATAATTACTATCGATATCATGATGGTGTTTTCAGCTGCCCTCCACCTCATGTTGTGATTTTGACATACAACCTATCCAGCAACTTTGATCTCTCTCTGCAAGGGTTCTGCATGATCACTGTGTAAATGTTTCCTAGAATCCAAAGCCTGCCCTAATCAGCTCCTAACCTCGTCTTCCCTCTTGTTTCTCCCAGCTTCTGTGCGGATGCGTCTCTGCCGGTGACGTACCAGGCCTGCGTCATATCCAAAGACTGCGAGGTGACCGAGTGGGCGGAGTGGTCAGCCTGCTCTAAAGAGTGCTACGACCCCAATGGACCCAAGGGAGAACGCACCCGCATTCGTAAGGTCACCCAGTTCCCTGTGGGCCAGGGAGCGGGCTGCCCTGAGCTGGAGGAGAAGGAGGAGTGCACCCCACAAGGCGACAAAGTGCCTCCATGTGTTGTGTAAGTTACTTCTACTGTCTTTCCTTCGTAACATGATTATTTATGATTATTTTATGTTGCTACATTTAACCCCTTTCACAATGACGCCCTTTAATTTTTCCATTCCAAAATTACATCTACATCATTTGTGAGTGTCAGATAGCAGGTCAACATCTACAGATACCGTTATTCTTAATACAAAATATTTATGTTCATGATATTTATGGTTTTCAAGCAGATTATCTAATTTGGGTGAAATGTAGGTGGTTTCGGTCTTTTTTCTATAGCACCACATATTATGCCATCAGGTAGGTGGCGTCAGTAATTAGTGTTTAGGAGCTACATGTATCATTGGCAGGAAGATTGAATTGTATTTGGAAAAATGATATAATAAGAACAACCATATGTACAGCAGTTGCTTGATTTACAAGAGTCTGGGATTGAGCGGATTGTGGTGCTGAGGTGATACAAGACAACTATTGCTCTTTTCTTTCAGTTGATTTGGTTCATTTCTTCAAACTGAGATGATTTTCTCAAAATAACAAGAACACAAACCCTCTTATTCAAAGCTGAATGTAATTTCTCATTGATTCATCAAATTTGTCTCAAGTGTCTCTTAACAGTGGTTCTGTACAGAAGTTTACAGTCAGCACGTTGAGCCCTCATAGAGGCTTCTTGCTGATCAGTTGATTCTTAGTCTAATAGTTGTTCTCTCAGCCTGAAGTCATTGTGTAAGCCCTCACCTGCAGAATCATCTGTTCAATTGTCTTTATCAGTCATAAGAATAATATACCACCATTTATACATATTTTGAATTCTGTGGGCCACAGAGCGTCAGGTCAGATGTGTTCCCCACATCTCAATGATAAATCATACATTTCGACAAGATCCGTGACAGGTGCTATCTATGATCATGAATGCTGCTTCATGTCTGTTCTGTAGAGCGCGGCCAGGGCCAGGAACATGTGCATCTTGGGAACTCTGATTAGTTAAATGAGAGCAGAACTTTTGCAAATCTCTCCCTAAACAGAGCGATTTGCAATAGACAGCAAATGAAAGGATCTTTGTCGTTTGGATGGCACTGACTCTTTATGTAGTGAAGAACCATGTTTGAACAGGTTTGGGAGTGAACTGAAACTTTTTGCCCATCTTTCAGTTTTGAGAAATGAATAAAACTGTAATGTAGTAAATTACCTTAACTTACTCTGATAAATTAACAAGCCCATATGTGCACTTCTACCGAAAGTCGACACGCACACTAAAATAGAAAAATAGTTATAATAATTATTATATTTTCTCTGCCGTCTTTATCAGACCACCCATAAAAACTCGGGGCAGAGGTCCAGAGGCACTCCTACTCATAATTCGAATTTATGCATGGACTACAAGATTAAACCCGTAACATTGACAGATTGAGGACCCCGTATTAAAGCAAACGTAGAGTCTAAAGAGGGTGTAAATAAGAGTGAAAAGGCCCCATCTGGTCTCGGCACTCGCGGCTAATATGGACACAACTCAATAGGACGACAATGGAGCTGTCGTGAAGTCGGCTCTGATGCTTCCTTCAAATACATCGATTCTGCATTAGTCACTCTTATGTGTCCCCTGCTCATTCGTGCCACATAAATCATATCCTATAATATATTGGTGGCAGGCAGAAGGGTTCTTGTCATACAGCGACAGTCCGGATTGTGTTTTTATGGGGCTTTATTTACGGGGGACCTCAGCTTCCCGTGTCCATAAAAGAAAGCTCTACAGAGGAAGTCATCTGCAGGTTATTGGACTGAGCAGCCATAATGTCTATCGTCAGTTCGAGGTTACATTAGTTTCAAGGCTAAGTCAATATGTACCCATCAGTTTTATCTATATTTTCAATCTCATATCCATTACATTGCATTTCTGTAGGTCAAACAATAGAACTGCCCGGCACCTGTACTATTCACTGTGCATTCATCGGCATAAACAATGACACACTCGAGGAAAAAGACTTTCCATTAATGTAATAGTGTTTAAACAAGATAAGTTGAATAGGCAAGGCAAGGCAAGTTTATTTGTATAGCACAGTTTAAACACACGGCAACTCTAAGCGGCTTAAAAAAACAAGATAGGAACAATAACACAAGGCATTAAAATAATGAATATTCAGAGTATATTAAAAAAAGAGCAAATATACAGCTAAACAGAGCTGTCTCCAACCTGGGTTGGATCATTGTCAGAGTAGAAGCCTGTCTCATATTTTCAGGAATACTGTCCCAGATTTTAGCTGCGTGCATCTGAAATGTAGATAAAATACAAAAGAATTTAGATAAAAGTATACACATGTAAGTATAAGTGTATGCTTTTCCTGTGGTAAAGCCATATTACATGCCCAATGCCACCGATCGATCAAGATCATTTATGTTCAATTTGATTTATAAACACATTTTGAACTAGTATGCTGGCATTTTCACTGGAAGCGTACTACATACACACATGTATGTAAGTATGTTCTCACATTAATGTTCAAATTACAACTCGGTAAAAGCTTTTGAATAGTTTATTTTACATCACAAGTCACTCACTTATAAAGATGGTACAATCTTAACCTCCGATCACCCAACTATTTCCTCCTCAATCCTGATACAAGTCCTAATGTAGCGTCAGTCAAAAGCCTCTAAATCAAAGCACCATGAAAGGACTGTCCCCATCTGGACAGCTGACAGGCCCTCGATGTCCCCAGGGCCCTTTGTCTCCTGCAGCCTCTGACTCATAAATAAACAGGCTTTTATTGGTGGTGCTGAGTGAATCCTATTATATACAGACACAGAGTGACTGCACCTACACACTGGTCCAGACCATGGTCAAAACACTGGTTCATATACAGTACTGGGCCATACACTGCACATGTCCTGCAGGCTTGGCTTTAGTCTGGGTCTTGGGACTATGGAGCTCTCAGACATGAAGCCTCAGAGTGTCTGACAGGAACATCACTCAATGTAGGGCACTTACTGCTAGATATGGAACCGCACATGTCGTGGAACTTGTTGCGGAACATGTCCTGGATCCATTGACAATATTATTTTGTTCCCAAACACTTGCATTCAAAAAGCAATGACGTAAACACCATGCTTTACATCAGGGGTCTCCAACCTATGGCTTGAGAGCTGCCATTAGCTCACTAACCCTTTTCAGATAGCTCCCCAAAGGATTCAAGAATCTAACACATGATCCTGAATAATTCACTTTTGAGTAGGGCTGTCAAAAGTATCGCGTTAACGCACGTTAATTATTATTTTTTCATTAATCGCGTTAAAAAAATAACGAATTGATGCATGTACCAAATGACCCGCCTATGCATCCCATAACAACACTCACAAGTTCTGCTCACAGGCTTCTCATGTTACTACTCTCCTTGACGCTCACCTCTCACTGAGCCATGTAGTTTTAGTAGCGATCTGATAGGCAATAGTTAGCATTAGCACAACTTCATATAAGCTGTACAACAAACAATCACTGATGGAATGATACAAAAGCAATGCACTGCTAACAAAATATACAGTTAAAATATCTGAAAGATTACCTCCAGTTTCGCGTCCAAAATTAGTCCGAGGCGGTCCGCACTTACAGTCTATGGCCCGCTCCTGCAGGTCCCTCCAGAGGATTGTGTGTACTGTATATTCTCCCGGGCTTGATTTCTTCTTTGATCATTTTTTCGCTTTAGTTCCCTCTTCTCTTCCTCACTTTTGTGTTTGGGCTGATTTGCTGTGTGTGCAGTTACAGCCAGACGATGTATAGCCACTTTCTCTTCCCATGGTGCTTTTGTTTACATGCGCTGCAGACGCTAGAGGACGCGTGGTCTAGAGGAGCTAGCGTCACGCTAAGTTTCTACTCAGCACTTTTTATGGCCTGAATACAGCTGAATGAATGAGCTCAACTTTTCAATAAAATTACAGGTTTTAATACAACTTAGAAAATAAACTATGTCTACTACAGAAAGAAGTGTTAATAATGTTAATGCCGTTTTATGTTGATTTATCATTATAATAAACAAATACAGCACATATGTACACTATGTTGTCATTTATCTTTCCATTCAAACAAACCAATTAAAGAAAAGTATGGCATAATTTTGCCAATTTTTTATTTGTAATTAACTCGATTAAAAATTTTAATTGTTTGACAGCCCTACTTTTGAGTCATTACATAATGTATTTTACCTACGAATCTTTACATTAACACAAGGATACCGTACGGTATTATGTGTTTTGCTTGTGTGTTTTCCATGATTGGCTGTAGTTTTACAGTATATAGAATTGTATTACAACTGCTAAAAGGAGTAGCTCTCTGCCATTTCTGCTTTCTAAAAGTAGCTCTTCAATCAAAAATGGTTGGAGACCCCTGATTTACACATGCTTTTAACCGGTAAACAGTTACTGTGGGTGAATGCCTGACTCCTCATTTTCATGGTTTTATATTGTTCCCGTGGATGCATCTTCCACATGTGACATAAAACTGAGCTGTCTCAATGAGATGTTGTTTTTAAGCTTGATTTTAACTTTCGATTGCCATTCAGTAATAGCATTACAAACATCTAGTCAATGCATCATAAATAAATAAATAATTCATAAGTCTTAATTCAGAAACCGCCACACACCATTTTTGTGCAGTATTGATCAATACTTTTTCTCAATTTGCTAAAACGATTGCGTTTATTGATGCTGGGTGGTTATTGCTGACCTGAAAAATCTTTATTCACAATGAAGCCCAATTATAATATATTTTATCATGCACTCATGGTTACAACAGACAGAATGAAAGATACATATAAAACTGCATCAATATGTATAATTCCAGACGTTAAATATATTTGACATAAATTGACGACTGCTCAATCAATCCTCTGTAGCTCTTAATGGAATTAGCAACAATCATGTAAATAGCAATTATTTTCCACATGAAAAAGGGAATGGGGAGTGCATATGTCATTCACTGAGTCCACACGGCCTCTCACCGGCGCTCGCACTTAATCGCGGGTGACCTTTGGGACCTGCCGCTGCGTTCCCATGGATTCAATACAAATGACGTTTATCCAGATATGCCCCAGTCGATCGTCTCCGTCTGGACACGCGCATGGACACATACCCTATTGATCAGGCTGGTGGGTGTATGAAGAGGAGCCTGTCGATGTGCTGTTTAAACATATGCATTGGATTGGAAGCTCAAGTATTGCTTCATGTGATGCTAGTATAAGTGCAGTGCTGGTCATAAGGACTGTAGTAAGGTTGTCCAAAGTATTGAAAATCTGCTATTAGTCAATACTATTTTTAGTGAGTATAGATATTAATAAGATCACCTAAACCAGAAGAGAATTGAGGATTATTTGATGAATATTAGACTATATTAAAATCAAATTAAATCTTGTGGCCCAATAAACGCTATCATTATTTTAGAAGAAGAAGGTCCTTTATTCGTCCCACAATGGGGAAATTTCAGTTTGATGCATACACATACACATCAAGGCAAGCAGCAAACATTACTTCCGCGCTCCTTATAGGCAAAGTGGGTTAAGTGTCTTTCCCAAGGACACAACGACAGCAGACATCAGTGGGCATCGATGGAAAAGGTCTTGTGGTGGGCTCGAACCCACGACCTTCGGGCTCAAAAACCAATGCTCTACCACCTGAGCCACGGCCACCATTTTCCTTTGAGTTAAAAGGAAAATGTATCGTCCAAATAGAGCAATTATAAATAATGGTTGTGGTATTGAAATTGGTATAGAGTATTAAGTATCTTTTATCAAGTATCAAAATAGTTTCAACTTTAGTATTGTGACACTAATGTATGAGTACTTTTATAGCATGTTTCATGACACTCAAAGACGCTTCATATGGCATTATTCATTCTCATACACTTTTATGTTCAAATTGATTTACAGTTACATAGTCCTAGCAGTTGTAGTAGCAGCAGCGGCAGTAGCAGTAGTATTGGCTGTAGCAGTAGCACTAGCAGTGGTAGTAGCAGTGGCAGTACTATTAGTAGTAGTAGGAGCAGCAGTAGTAGTAGTAACTGTAGCACTAGCAGTAGTAGTAGCAGTAGCAAGACTAGTAGTAGTAGTAGTAGCATTAGTAGTAGCTGTAGCAGTAGCAATAGCAGTAGTATTAGTAGTAGTAGCAGTAGCAGTCTCACATTTGACTTTACTTGTTGTTCCAGCTGGGAGAGCACAGTACAGATACAGTACTGTCGTAGTAGTAGTAGTAGTAGGAGTAGCAGTATGATGTATAATGCAGCAGTAGCTACGTTTTGTAATGACAGCACTCTCACACTGGGCTCTTTTTTTACAGTTACAGCTGGAAGAACACGGAGTGGACTGAGTGCCGCGTGGACGTGCTGCTCAGCCAACAGGACCGTCGGCGCGGTAACCAGACGGGCCTGTGCGGGGGCGGGGTCCAGAGCCGCGAGGTCTACTGCGTACAGTCCAGCGCCGACGCCACTCCCAACCTCGGCTCGCTGCGCAGCAAAGAAGGTGCCGGCACATCCCACACTGTGCCCTAGCTCGCATTCATTAGGATTCCCCCGCTCGCATAACCAACCATTATGTTCAATTATTCATGATACAGAGGGCAGAGTGTGCGACTTAATAATTGATGCGCTTCTCTCTGCCATTCACATATGATTGCTGGTAATAGTTTTTTGTTATGCCACGTTAATTGAATATGGCAGAGGGTTTCATGAAGAATTTCTTTTCTAAATGTCAAGTGAAATGGAGAGTTCTGACGTTTATATTGCAGTGAGTTGGGTATGTTAAGAAGACTCTCATTATTTCGTTTTTTTGAGATCTGAAAGTTGATCCTCTGTCAATTAGGAGCTTCGTCACTTAGGAGTCAGTTATTTAAGAGCCTCACACCCAAGGCCTAGCCGCAGCAATCCAAGACTCGGGAAATCAAATCCTTGTTGTCCTGTAGTCAATTCAATTCATTCTTGTATGGTCCTAAATCACAACTGTCGTTATCTCGGAATAAAAATACATAAAGTAATCGGTCCATAAGGGGCAGATGACCAATGTCCATAAATGTTGTTGAATGTTGAGAGTTGAGTTTCCCACAATGATGACATTCAACGCATTTGAAAGTTTAGACTCAATGTTGTCCTTTTGGCCCAGTTCTGCTGCAGCTTTTTCTAAGTCTTCTTCATCTTTGCTTGACTTTCAGCTATGAGTGTCTCCAAGCGTTTGTTCAAATTGAATGTTAATTTGCTCTTCCAAAGTGGCTTATAAGTTGTCCATCTGTGCGCCCAGTGATATGATTTAATCGAGAAGTTGACAGTGTATTTTATCTATCTTGCACTGTTGTGAAATATCAATCATCATTTTGATCACTATAGCTCATGTTTGTTCAACGTTGTGCTCTGCAAAGTTTAAGCAATTATTTTAGTGTTTACTGAGTTTATTGATAAATCTATGAGCCCATTAGGCGGACAGTTAAGTAAGCAGTGGAAGAAATATGCATCTATTGTGTACTGTAGTACCGTTACAGACATTGAAGTAACATGACTAACACGGATCCTCAATATCCTATCAAAATGTAATTTCAAAGGTTACTCACAGCCTTCAAAATGAAAGAAGAGAAAGTATTTGGACTTGGATTCTGCCTACTGCTTCTGATTATTTCGCTGACTGACATTAACCAATGAGTTTTTATATTTGTACTGAAAATTTAAACCAGAACTTTTTACGTCACACCTTTCTATCCAAAAGTTCTAATGGCTACAGAGTACAGACATAACTACATAGTTTGTGAAATCCCACGTGTTCATTTAAACATCCACTGTGAGGCAGATGTGAACGGTTTCTTACACTGAAGACCAGGGAAACATAATCCAATGAAATCCAACAAAATAAACAATAAACATTACAGTCTCTATCAGCAGCAGCATGTTCATAATCTGTATGCTCCCACACTCAAACTGAAGACATCAGAGGTGTGTAAATTATGGGAGTGTCTTTGAATTTGAAGCTTATTTACTTTTTTTTTTTACATTCCAGATTTGCTCTTCTTGAATTGCAGTTGCTTTTCTCTTTTATATTTGAGATTATTAACCTTTTAATCTTTGTCAACACATGCTCTGTTTGATATTTTAACAAAACAAAAATCCATTTCATATTTTGATCTTGAACTCAAACACTTTTTTTTAGCCTTTTTTTTTGCATCGACCGCCTGCCGAAGCGAAAGCAGCAGTCCATCAGCAGAGCGCGTTCAGAAGCTCACACTTTGCACTCGCGTCATCTGTTCTCAGTCTGCGCGCCTTCGGTTATCTCCCCCATCTACTCATGGTGATTCTGCCTGTGTATGTTAATGTGCTAGGCTAATGCGCTAGGCTAAGGGGGATGAAACACAAGATCACTGCTAAACACATGGCATTAGTGGCAACAGCCCTGTTCAGCTTGTTGTGCTTATCCCACACACATACAAAATTGACCTAATCCACTCATGGGCTTTAAGAGAAAGGTTTAGGATAGCAATTTTAGATCTTATCGAGTGGAGAAATGACTATAGGACTGAGCGTCAGAACAAACGCATGGGTGTTTGACGGATGAAAACATACAAGGCCGGATTTTAGCGCCGAAACTAGCTGGTCCAGATATGGTTTGGACTTGGGAGGAGGAAATGCAATTTTTGGTGGAAACAGGTTAACAGAGGAAGAGGTCTGTATTGGAAGAATCCATATATACAATACTTTATCCCCAGCTTTTGCCTGTGAAAGTCAGATCCTGTCAGACCTCTGAAGCCTGGTTAGTACGGTGATGGGAGACCTCCTCGCTTCTGTCAGTGTGCTCCAGGGCAACTGTGGCTATAGTAGTAGTTTATCACCACCGTCTATGGAGTGAAATATTATAGACTTGTGAAAAGCGATGCATTATTACTTTGTGGCAATTTGATTTCAGTTGAGCAGACGTGTGACTTTCTACAGTGGTGTGAAGGAAGCTGAAGCAGTCCCCTTGTGAGAGCGAGTCTGGGGTCAGGAGGGAGACATGGATCAGCCTTAAGTTACGCCATTAGTTACTCTGCGCAGCTCTTCACACAGAAAAGTGTAAAAGAAGGAGTCCACTCACTTAGCCAATCATCTCTAAGACCAAAGCCCATTTTACTTTCACAGGGCACTTTCAATTGGAAGAAAAAAAAAAGAAAAAAAAAGGAAAGAATAAAGTAACTTATGTTTTTCAAATTTCTCCATTGTGAGCAAACTATTAATCTGGTGGTAAATGTCACAGCTTAATGTCTGCATTGGCCATTAAAATACAAGCAAAAAACTCACTCATGAAGTTTAATATAATTCGTCTCGAAGCAAAAGATTTATCAACTTTTTCCCGCTCAAGTTTTATGTTCTGCAATTGTCGGCAAGAAGAGATTTGTTTCACCCCTAAAAAAGAATCCGACTCCTGCCAAAGTCATCCTGCGGGCACGGCGCACCATTCGCAAGCGAACGCGGCGATTGTCCGGCGGAGTTTTTCGCTGACGTCCTAATGAACAGTTTCTGACTGGGGAGAGGTGGGAGTGCTTTGAGTTGTCACACGCAGAATGTGGAGGCCGCAGCGAGACGTTAAATTACAGTGATGAATGCGGCGTGCTTTCTGCCGCAGCTGTCCCCGCTTCTCCCAGTTTTTTCCCTTGTCGCGTCAGGTGTAATTTTAGCTTGCGTTCCAACATGGCCGCTCTCACTGTAAATTAATGCAGGTGCAGGAATCTCTATATCTGCATGTTGTATCTTTATAAGACCAGGGAGGATCCACTTTGGCACCGTCTGTCATCTTTACAAGTGTGGGAAACAATAACAATGGTTTACAATAGACTAGAACCATTACAATTGGCATCTTAATGACTTTTTGTTGATCAAGGGCAAACTATTGTCTTGATTTCTATAAAAGCCCATTTCAATCACTCACTGCTATCTTAACAATAATTGACTTGAAGCTGAAGTGTGCTCTGAACTTTTTAAGTGGTACTTGGAGGAGCTGAAGGATTCTCTATACTTTCATCTTAGAGCGACGTGCTTTCATCAGCTTTTTATTTATGTTGGTCTCAAGTGGTTATTATTATCATAGAACATATATTTTTTCTGGCTGTTTTCAGGACTTTGAAAGAAAGAATGTATCTTGTTTTGAGCACATTTTGACTGCCTTAAAACAAGATTTGCCAATGTGACAAGCAGAATTACCTTGTTTTAAAAAGATACAAGAAATGTCTTGAAATGCCCTTGAATTATGAGTAAATGGCTTTGACCCATTGGCAAATCTTGTTTTTAGAATGTTCAAATTAAAATTAAATAATTACCTTTTTTATTATTTTTTGCAATGTTTTGCTAGAGACTGGTCGCTTCTCTATAGCTCTGATCCACTCTCGGCCGGATAAAATCATTTGTCTGTCTTCCTAGAGATGGATGTTTCTATTAACACACTTTGGGACACTTTGGGACTGTGTCATGGTGGAAGCAGTCTCCCCTGGGGGCCTCCTCCCGGTGGGACAGACATGCAGCAACAGGCAGCACAACTTTAACCACCATTATCCTATTCAAGCCCTTTCTTGGATTTGTTGACGCTCACCACATATTAATGCTGTGTCAAATTGGTTTTGGCTATTTCTCTTTGTGTTGAAAAATAATTCTCTCTTGACGTTGAACCAAATAAGTATTGTCTTTTTGCTCTAATTAGACTCACATCGTCTTATTTAACTCTGAAAGCTCCAGCGCTCACATGGCAGCGTGTGCTATTATTTATACCCCAAGAGTCGGTGTGAAAAAACACTGACACTTCCGACATTTTAATTTCAGAAAACAACATCGCAATTCTTCAGAGAGTCCTCAGACATGATCCGAGCTGACAAAACAAAAGGCTGCTGGATGGGGCGGCCCGATGTTGGATGGGTCTATAACATTTGGATCAACGGGAATCCCATTGGGCCAACACGGAGACACGCTGTACAACAGATGTGGCAGTCGTGGATGGCGGGCTGGCGGGCTGGGGGGCCGGCCATGTCTGGTAGTGGGGGTTATGGATGGCAGTTGGCACATGGTAGCGCAGTGTGGAGGGTTGCAAGGTGCCTTATAATTTGGCGGTTGAGCAGTCTGGAGTCTAGACCATCTGGCAGAGAGTGAGAGAGAGATAGTCGGGGAGAGAGAGTGGGGATAGTGGAGGGGTTTTTACCTGAGCAAGGTCAGGCTGAGGCATGGCGCTCATTCATCAAAGTGCATTATGGGCCACCACGCTGCCATCTCAAGGAAAGAGGTCATCGTGCTGGCCTTTTGAAGGATCTACCGTGCATCTTGATTATATTTTAAATATTCAGAGTACAGTTCAATATTGACAAAACATGTTTCAGTGTAAGACTCGAATAGTGGTTCCTGTATTGTACATTTGTAACTGTCTATTTGCAGTATGTCACTGTAACGGTGCCGAGACAACGGCAGATCATGATGTCGAGCATCAGATTTGTCTTCATTCGGGCCTACTATGACATCATATAGCGTCTTTCATGACACACTAAGTCAGGTGTCCAACCTATTGCACTGGAGCAACCAGTTGCTCACTACCCCAATCCAAGTAACAACATGCAGACATTACACAAATGCATATCTACAACTAAATTCAAACAGCTAAAAAACTCATTGAATTATACTTAAATTGATAATTGACACAAACATTTGAACTGTCTTCCAACAAGATTTTCCGATAGAACTAGGAGCTTAGTCTTAATTCAAGCATTACTCAAGTTGGCAGACATATTGCTTGTCATTTTAATAAGTTAACTTAAACACATGAACAGATTGATAAACAGTTAGATATGGCATGCGTGATTTCATGGACAAGAGCAATGTTATTATTAGAAGTAAAAGTAAAAGTAAAAGTTGGCCAGCAAGATACAGGGCAATCAGATGAAAGTTCAAATGGATCGCTCCTTTAAGTCAAATAATTTCCGCTGATAAAGAAGAATATTGCTACTCATTCTATTATTAAATCATTCTTTGTGAAATTGATATTTGGTGTCAGTATTACTCCGGATGAGCTGGAGGTGAGCTGCGATTGGGAAGTCTGGGTGTGCCTGCGTACACTGCTGCCATCACGACCCGGCTATGGAAAAAAGCCAAAGAAAATGGATTGATGGATTTATAATCAGTGTAATTTTTTTGCATTAACACTTGTTCCTCACTTGAGATGGATTATCAAAGCTTGTAATGACAAATGAAAAGCAATGTGTCTTCCATTCAAACACGGCAGAACATTGTTGAAGTTTTCTCCACTTGTATTTGTTTGTTGACTCAGCTGCAGTGGGATATTTGACGAAAGCCTGTAATAAATCAGTGTCTGCTCAGCCACAAACTCAGGTCCCCGAGCCACTGCACAGCTGGGCCGTTAACCAGCAGCGAGACAAGGGATAATTCATAAAACCCAAATGTTAATATTGTACAAGCAAATGACGAGTCTTCCTTCAGGAATGAGGAAAGTTTTGAAACTTGGCAAAGAAATGAAATGTCCCAGTAATGTTCCATCAAACTCAACCTTCTTGAGATAAGACAAAAGCCAACTTGAATTGCCACTTGTTTGCTCACCCGTTCCTTCCTAAATTATAGCTCATTTAAAGTTTGTATTAGAGTTAATCCTTGCATTATCCTTGCATTATTCAAATATAGTTGTAGAATTTTTAAATCAAATATTATTTTCATGTTGTGTGAGGAGCACTCTACCACAAAGCAGCCTTGACATGAAAATAGCTTTTGAAATGGTAAATTAAATGGTAAACTGTCATAAATGGCTTTGTAAATAACCAATACATTTTTTTTATCTGTTCCTGCAATGTTTTCAAAGTATTTTCCTAAAATGTCGACTTTATTTCTTACATATAAAAATCAATGCAGTACAAGACACTGCCAGCGCACTGCTATCCGTAACCCGGCGTCCATCAAAAATCTCCAGTCTTTGAGCACAATGATCCTACCATATTATGAGTGCATATTGTGGCCATTTATCACCTCAGCCCAGTCCTCCGGAGCGTGGCAAGAGCGCAGGAAAACACATATTAGCGAGCGTGAGAGCGGCACTTATTGGAAAGGCGCGCGGGCGGAATAGGGCCATCACTCAAGCACCGACACATCAGCCACTGTGCGCTCCACAGACACCCAAGGGCACGCCGCATGTGCGCACACTTAAGCAACACTATTAAAGAACGCTGCACCTATGACCGCGCGCAGCCAATTTGCATGTGAATGAGGCCCGGCGCTTTTGTGGCTCCCCCAGAAATGATTCATCAAGGCGAGGTTGACCTTGTGCAGTCGACTACACAAGAATTGATGGAGACGACTGGTCATGATGGTTAAGGGAGAATTTAATAAGCTGCAGTGGTGAGATGTTGTAGTGAACTGAACAAGGCTGAACAATGTTAAAACATGCAGGAAGTTGGAGTTTACTTTCTGGTGCAGGGCCCTGAATGATCTTTGAGGATGTCTCTATGCTACATGTCAAGATTATTAGAATAAAATGATTCAATACACTGAAAAAGCACCTGTGGAGTGCAGAGGCAAATTCCAATACTTTTAAAGTTTCTTGTATGCAGAGTGATGTGGATAATATAAACCGCACATTTCTCCTCATAACTCAATGATCGATATGCGTGCATCATGCTTGTGTCACTAGTTTTCACATGCATTTTGACACGGTCACATCTTAAGATATGTTTTTCAGACAGAAAGGTGAATAAGAGAGGACCGCAGCCTCACCCAGCCAACTCTCAGTATGCACAAGATAAAACGTTTTACAATAAGATGAATATGGTCTGTGGTCTGTCCACATAAAGTTTCTATAACTAGACAACAACACTTTTAGTGACTGAATTTTCCCAATGATTGTATTATTTATGACTGTTTATATCGTTTTTTAGAACCTTTTTTTTATATATTCTTGTCAAAATAATGCTCCTTAGCTGATTTTTTTTTTACATTAGCAGCTCAGTTTCAGCTCCTACTCTCCTCAGCTTGTGACAAATCCCTATTGTAAAGGAGACATCGCTGTGCTCGCTTGTTAAAGTTAGTGTAATAGAAGTGTTTTCCCCTCTTCACTTGTTGTGGTTGTGCTGAGACAGAGGTGTGACTTGGGAAAACTATGCCTTCTGGTAACGAGGAGAGGAGAGATGTGGTTAGAGTGTGAGAAGAAGCAGGAGGTTGAGGTGTGGCTCAGCTCCTGAATCTCAGTTAAAGAAACACCATTGTAAGAACAAAAAAATCCTCTATTTATTGCATTTATATTCTATTAATGTTATGATTCAGAGAGTTTGATGTCATACAGTGAACAAGATGAATAGATGCACTTTATACAACATGGATGAATAATAAATAAGGGTTTATTGCCGTTTGGTTTTGGTATCAATATTTGTAATTTCAAATTGTAAAGTCCTCTTGTCTTTCACATTTAAATAATATGCATTAGAAAAAGTTCCCGTCTCTTCTCTGTAGAACTAATCTATATTTGCAGTTTTACATTTTAGCCGTGGTGCAGTGTGAAACTCATAAATATGTGCTTTCGGCAATTTGTCCAGATTCAGAAATGTCCTATTTATACCAACAGATAAAATGAAAGTAGTCCCAAATGTTGAACCCGGAGCGATTGTAATGCACATACTTTTTCTTAGCATTGAATAAAAGCTAAGGATATAACAAAGAAGAATGTTGGGTTTTGCAATGTTGTAAACAAGTGAGGATTGGCTTTGTGTCTTCCACGGTTTGGCTGTTGACAGTTCACCTAGCTGGAGGTCAGCGATCAATACAGCAGTTAATTAAAAATCTCAACTCATTAAAGGTCCTATATCACATTTTTCTTCATGTTTCACACTCAATCCTCTGCACATGTGTGATATTAATGTGTATGATACACCACACAACAATCAAAGCTTGTGAGATTAGAGCCATCTCTTGTATAGAGGTGACGTCACCTCGACTCAAACGAGCTGATCCAGAGAAGAGTCTGCTCCTCTGCCTGTGAGCCCGCCTCCCCCCGCCCGCACGGTGACGTAGCATCACGCTCTTGTCGTTTATCACTGGTACATAGTCATTTCATACATAAGAATAAACTTTTTCCAATGACAATCCGTCACATCGAGCCCTATGTCCTCGATGCACAATCAGACCCTAGTTATTTAGTTTACAGAAGTATACAGCAAGTTAGCGTCACTACTTACAGATCGAAGGGGTCCGAGTTACGTCTTTTACCGTGGGAATAACGTGTTTCCAGATCAGCTTTTGAGTAAGTCCAGTTCCATTGTCCCTGTAGTTCTGGAACAGTCTCAGTGAAGTGTCGCAGATGAACCGGTTTATAATAGATCCATGAGATGAACAGATGAAAAAAGTCGAGCCGCTTTCTTCCTCTTAGGGCCAAATAGTGTGTCACATATTTACACCCATAACACACTTCATTCAAGTTGACGTGATCCTAACACTTTTAGTTGCTGACAAAAGCATAAAAACAGCAGCTCTATGTGGTGTCCGCGAGACCAGACCACAGACGCTGGACTCGGGAGCCGGAGCCTGTGCGCTCTGATTCGCTGTTTTGATCCGTCAATCACCTCCCGCCGGCTTTTAATTTATTTTTATTTTTATTATTTTTGACAAAAACATACTAATTGTGTATTGTTTACCCCGTTTTGACAAAAGTATTTAAAAACTATTTTAAATACAAAGCAAACGGGGTCATGGGCGTCATGCGCGTCATCAGTGTGGTTTTCGTCACTGAAGTGGACCCGAGCGTTTCTGTGCCTCACGCTGGGGAAGGAGACAGATTGCTCTCTTACTAAAGATTGACAGAATCAATGAATAAACTACTCTGGGCATGTGTATGAAGGCCAAATAGCACTGTAATCATGTTTAAAGCAGAGAAAAGTCAAAAACCGTGATATGGGCCCTTTAAGTGTTAATTATGTCTGGCCTTAAGCTTTGCAATCATCTATGTATATAGGCGACAAATGGAAAGATCTGGCTATCGTCTTAAAGATAAAATTATAAAATGAAATACTGTAAATGTTATTGATAAAGTTTGAAAAATATACAGAAAACATAAAAATGATTTATTTTTGGATATTTTAATTGATTTTTCTTGTTTGAAATTTTTACCTAAATACTGTTGGTTTTTTTTAGAGTCTGTACAGTCCAGTCAAAGTGATTTTGCTCACCTAAAAAACCAGAATAGCTTGATATAATCTGTTGGCCTGTCACTCACCCTCGCTCTTGTCTGTGCAGCTCTTCGGCCGGTGGACAGTGACTTGTGTCTGGGCGTACCCCCCAACACCACCCAGTTCTGCCACATCAGCTGCCCGGTGGAGTGCGAGGTGTCTGCCTGGAGCGCCTGGGGACCCTGCACCTACGAGAACTGCCAGGACCAGGTGGCCAAGAAAGGTGAGACAGAAGCCAAGACTTACCCAATGCCTTCACTCACACAGAGGTTTGGACTCTCACTCACTACTTTCTGCTCAAATTGGTTTCAGTAATAGATATTGATCCCTAGTGCATGTCCATTTTACATTCATGACAAAATAAGGCAGGATTTTCAGATTGAGATTGGAAATAATACAAATAATAAACAGCTAAAGTTATAGTAAACCATTAACCTTAGTGTCATTACCACTACCTGTTCATATTTGTGATTGATTTATTCATCATCTTCTATATTATCCAGTGACCAACATTGCATCTGTTCAAGATTTTCTGGCCTTAAGCTTTGCAAGATTCACATTTCATCTGTTCAAGATGCATGTTGGGAAATTTGGGAGTGCAATTTTTTCTTGTCCTTTTTTCATGGTTGTAATTAGCAAAGCGCTAAGACTGCAACTATTTTAAGTGCTTTGAAAAGTAACAAGGATCAAATACAAGCAAAACATACTTTGAATTGGGAAGAAAATCTGATTTAAGTTGATTTTGACAATTCTTACATTGAACAACATTTTTTTTTCTAATTCCAAATGAGACGCCCCCTCAAAATTTAGATAAATTGAAACTGTCTAAATGTGTTGTGTTTATATATATTTACATTTGTCGTTGTTGATCTTAAACCCATATTACCATATCCACACCTCGGTCTGAATATTGATGGTGCTTGTGTTATTTTCAATTTACTTGTTCAATGACCATTCACTATTTCTCAAGCCACTCATGCGCAGCTATTGAGCTCCTCTTGTTAAATGGGCCGTTCAGCCACGTCTTCAAAGGCCCAATGACAAACAAAAGCGCATTTGATTCTGCAGAGCTCAGTTGTACATTAAGCTCCAGTGTCTGGGACCATTCATGAAACGTAACACAACATTAATGACACTTGTCAGCACAGTGAACATGCACCAATTCAATCACAGTCTATTCGAAATTGCCCTCTTGTCTAATGGTTCTCCGCAATATCTAAAACCAATGAAGCACTTGACACCTTCTACTATTGACATTTGTTTATATATTTTAAATTTGGGATTGTCTGTTTAATCTTGGAAACTGAATCTGTGGCCGCATCAATGTAGTAATTCATCAATTTTTTAAGATGTTTATTCGAAACCTCTACAGCAATTCTTTTACAGCACAATATAACAGTTAAATCTGGAGAGACTCATGAGACAAAATGCAATTTGAAGTATTAAAGAATGTTTGGCGCCCTAGGCCCCGGTGCGACACGGTTAAGCGCGGCTCCTGTTTGTGTGCGCATGAGATCCCCCCCGGGACCTAAGTACTGGTGGTGGCGATTGGGCAGCAGGAAAAGCGCATGCTTGAAGAAGGGCAAGAAGGAGGAGGAGGGGAGGCTTGAGAAGGCCGAGAAGTGGGTGTTTCCACCTTTTAAGTTTCTGGCCTGGCTGGCATTGGTTGACGGGAGATGGGCTTTTGCTGTGCGATAGGCCAAGGATGCCAGGCAGGCCTGGAGGAGATGGTCGGCAGCAGTTCAGTCTTCCAGAATTGAACTTCCGCGGGCAGCATAATAATACTTTTGAAAAGGGTTGTTATAAAGCTCCAAGCCCCCTTCGGCATCCAACACTGAGACAAGATGATTTGGATCAAAATGTCAACAAGAAAGCAATAGTAATACAGTAGATCAGTAGCACAATACACTATCATTGGCAGAAAACAAACACACACACACACATACACACTTAAGATGCTGACCCGACTTCTATTTTTATTTGACTTCTGCAGTACTTCTTTTAAAAGCAGCTCTTAAATGCAACATGCTTTTAAATAATTTCTTAATCGGTTCCAAAGAACCTTGGTTCCTGAGCTCCATTGTGTCGTTAGCCGCACCTATAAACTGTAGTTATGCCCTTACATGGAAAGTCCAAGACTTCTTTTGACCAATGTTACAACTTTAATCCAGTCAGAGGAGGTGGAACCTTCTGAGACATGTTTGTGCCTTATGAACCAACTCAAACTCTGAGGAGTACAGGGACTGACCTTTTGCTGGTGCCCAGAATCTGAACTGAAGATGGAGAGGCAGCATTTCAGATTCATGCAGCAAACATTTGGAACAGTCATTTGGAAAATCACTGAACATTTTCAAATCCAGGTTGGATATAGTTTTTTAGCTGTGCATACAACTTAAGGATTGTATCTTCACTCTTTTAAATGTACTATGGTTATTTATTTTAATGCCTTGTGCGATTGTTTCTTGTTTTGTTTAGCACTTTGAATTGTGCATGAACTGTGCAACACAAATTTACTTGCCTTTAACATCTACATCTGCACTGGGTCATCCGCGGCCCATTCCTCGCTCCTCAGCTCTCCCTCTCCTCGGAACAGCGTCGTGGCAGGCTGACTAATGTGTGTTGACTCGGCCCTAATGAAGCGCCTCAAATGAAGGGGACGACCGCGTATCCCTCTAAATGCATCTTCATGATAAATCCTCGCTCCCGTGCTTTCCGCTGTACATGCGCCGCAGAGTCATGCTGGTTGTCGTACATGTGGCCTCTTATTTTCTCCACGCACAGACCGGGTCTTAACACTCATCCTCAGAGCGTTCACTATGAAAATGAGAGCCGTGTGATTAGGACGGTGCCTACAATTGGAATTTTGGGCTGTGAAAACTACAGAGGGACTGCGTGACATGTGATGACCTACGTGGGATTATAAAACCAGGGTTCTGTCAGAAAGATTTGGAATGGGTTGTTTTTTATGGATTAGTTGTGTATCCTATTTGTTCAACTTGTCAGTCAACTTGGATAACGTGGTATTACAACAGTTACGTCTAGATTGTGTTTCTCCTCTGGGATAAAATATTATCAATTCATCCATTGGTCTCCAGGATTTTTTTAACTCAAACATGCATCTTTATATGGATACGTGTAGTAAAAGGAAACCACACAGATTGTATATCTATAGACTGAATGTAGGACACGTTACAACGATGCAGGCACAGCTGTTTTGTTGTGCAATAGACTAACAGTTGTTTTTAGTTGAGCGGTAAAAATTCAAAAAGCAGATCTATTTTATCCATACTAGCCAAGATTGGTACCAATAATTTTATAATTGATTCGCCCAATATATTCTTTCGACCCCGACAGTTAATCAAACCAAACCATATAGTTTGTTGTAGAGATATTCTTTTAGATATATTTCAGATTTCTGCAGGTGTATTGAGAGCAAACAGAGGTCTAAGATTCTGATCACTGCTCAAAACACAGGATTTACTGATTACACAAGAACACCATTATTTGGTGTGGTTTCAAAACCACTCCACAGCTTCTCAATAGAAACTGGTGCATATAAGGTAGTTAATTCTATTTATTTATTTTTTTTTTTTCTTGAGAATGTCATTGGTCAAAAATTCTTCATTTCCCAAGTCAACAAGACAGATGAATGCCTGTCCTAAATCATGTGTTTGACCAATATGAGCAAAACCCACCAATATCACTGACGACCAGGAATCCAATCCAAGCTCATAAAGGTGGATTTTGCATAATATCAGGAACCACAACAGACTCAGCACTAAAATAAGACACGCTTGCTGTTTGTGAGGACTCCCTGCTCCGGTCCCTGGCGCTCATATCTGGAACACAATCATTGTTCCCGTCGTCACTCGTCGTCTGTCAAAATGAAGGCCCCGCAGCTGTGACAGGAGCGTCTCCCATCTCACACCTTTCTCATTCATAACTCCCACCCCCCTTTCCCCCTCCCCCAGACACCGGCGCTGACTGATGCCCGATACAATTGAATTCCCCTCACCCCGCTCAGATAAAGCCCCGGCGGACGGCTCTCGACACGTGGCTGTTTGCGTTTAGCCCGAGCCGTCTGATGGAATGACGGCGGGAGAAGAGGCGGAAATGAAATCAGAAAGAGCGCATTGGGTTCGTGCGTGGACCTCACCCTACAGCTGCGGTGTCCTGCAGCGGCCCCATCTTATCGGACCTGAGCAGAGGCCTGTGGGTGGATTAGGAGGCGGGGTCACCTTGGAGCCCCCTATGGCCCCTCCCCTTTTCTCTCCCAAAGCCCTCCGTGAGGACATGGTTCGAGGACTCCAGTGCCCTTGAGCCAATGACATGTCAGAGAACAAAAGCCACGAGGATTAATGGGATGTTACTGGGATGTTTTTATTCAGTAACTTGTGGAGCAGGCATCAATATTTAATGTCTTCAGGTTCTTGCACGTGCCATGGAATTTTGAGGAGTCCTTGAGCTAAAAGAAAGTGAAATTTTAAAATTCAAAGAGTTCCACAATTATATCAATTCAACAATAAAGGATTTTTATGTTAAGTCAAAGTGCCTCGGACCTTTTCCTCTTTTTTTCCCCACGGATCCTTGAATAGTACTTCCCCACTCACGTTTACCCTACCTTTTTTTCATCCCTGTATGCACTAACTCTTGTATACTATATGTGTGCAATTTACTGGTTTCTGCATATTTAATTAAATGCTAATTGTAAGACAAATACAAGGGAAAGTTGGATTTATTTCAAAGTTGATGCATGTTAATGAACTGAAAATGATATTTGTTTTAAAAAATCCCATCACATCCCATTTACACGCCACTTTTCAGCTCATTCCGTCCAGTAGTTTTTGCACAATCCTGCGGACAAGCAAACGCACACACACTTATGGAGGTAAATAACAATACCCCTTCAGATGCCGGGGTAAATAAGGATTCTGAAATGACTGGTAATGCCTGTACTGGTCTTAAATCTGCTTTCAAGAAAGTATAGATTTTTGAAAATTACTGTAGATGTTGGTGCCTCTGTAAACAATTTGTAGGCCAGATTGTTCTACTAAAGTAATCATTCAATGGTTTCAAAAGCGTTTAAGTGAGCATATGATTATTCATTTCAAACTTCAGTAATATTCAGTTTGAATATTGCTCACACATTCCCCATTTCTCCAGAGTAAACGTTTTAACTTTTGACAGAGACAATAAAACTCAAAATATTATTCTATTTGAAACTTTATACTGTATTTTTTCAACAAAGCAACAGGAGATGAAGTGAACTCAAATACATGGTTTGAAAACAGGTTGGAAGAAGCAGACAACTATTTGGTTCCATCCCCTCACATGTACACAAAGAATGTACACAATGACCACACCACGCACAAACACACACAGACATAGACAGTCACAGACACACACACACACACACACACACCCTACTTGCTCTGTACAGGGCATCACTCTTTTTATTATCACATAAGAAAAACAAAATACTACAAGCAAATTACCAGTTTGTTTCTGAAAGAACTCTCAGTGGTTTCCTTGGTGACCAGTTAATCCAGACTCACCCACGCTCGCGTCTCCTTGTTCATTTACCGAAGTGGACGGTGAGACACATCATCCTCCTCCTTCATTATAGATTAAAGCGCTCGTAATGAAGCGGAATCATCGCTTCTCGAAATATCTGTCAACTGCAGTGTTAATGGGCCGTCACATGCACTGCATTGTAATAGTTCTCATCAAAGGCTCCCCAGGACTTCACTGTGTTACATACAACGTGTTCAGATGACACTAGGGGGCGCCGGCGGTGATTAGGGAGGGGGGAGGTCTTGTCATTAATTTCCAGCTGTTTTCTTTTTTCATCGGCTTCGAAGACGAGTGTCTAATAGTTTGCTAAAATACTTGAATGATGAAGGGTGAGAATTTCCTAGACGGTTTCGGTCTTTCTGTGTGGAGTTTGAACGTTCTTCCTGTGCCATAATCCAGAATAAAATGATCCTGCCTCACAGATTATACTTTTTGGCAAGTACATTTTGTGCAGAAACAAGAAATGGGAGTCTAGCAGAGAAAAGCATACTTATTGCTATTCAAAAGGATATTTTTAGGAAAAAGCCTTTAAGCCAGTTAACATTAATTTTACCTCATTAAGAATCAAAGTTTCTATGCCTCTGACAAATATCGATACATTCCCCAACCCATCTTTCCAAACACGCATTTTGGAAACAATGGCACATACTGGTTGCTTTGCTTCTGTCAGTGTTCCCCAGGGCAGCTGTAGCTACAGTTTTAGTTTATCACCACCGTGCATGGAATGAAAGAAGAACATGTGAAGCGTCTTTGAGTGTCCAAAAAAGCTCTATATGAAACTTATACAGTTTTATTAATATTATTACATTTTAGATAAATAAAATGTAACTGGAGTAATGCATCATCTTTGTTCCTACTAAAGGCCTGGCTGTAGAGTGACTTTCCCGAAACTCAATGAACAACTCAATGAACAATTCTTTGAACCTGTGCACTTGATCATCTCTTGGATTGTGACTTGACTGTGACTCTTGCAGGCTTCAAACTGCGGAAGAGGAGGATCGTGAATGACCCCACAGGCGGGATGGGGAACTGCCCTCACCTGGTGGAGGCCATCCCGTGTGAGGACCCCGGCTGCTACGACTGGCTGGTGGTGACGCTGGACCAGTGCGTGCCCGATAACGAGGCGGCGTGCGGCCCGGGGACCCAGAATCCGCAAGTGCAGTGTGTCAACAGTGACGGTGAGTGCAGCTTTTCACCTACAACGTTAAAGTGTGTTTTTGGTGTTGTTTGGCAAGGCACACTTTGTCTGTTTGGTCTGGGGCTCCTTTTGCTTCTGAGTCAGAGCTGCTATTACCTGATACCTTGTTCCCAGTATTGTTGAAATTACAAAAATAATCAATATAAATATGCATTGGATGAGAATAGAATGTTGAAGTGGCTCGACCTTGAGCCAATATCTTATCTGTGTTTTGTTGATGGAGCAGTGGCGACTGTATTGATGCCCAAAGTAACAAATGTAAGAAAGCTGGCTTCTCTGGGCTTCTGTACTTTGAGCAACTACTGTAACTATCTCAAGATGACCTCCATTTTAGAATCTGTTACGGTCTAAATTACAGGGGAATAATTGCAGACTTTGCGGTTTGCTAATTGCTACTATCAAATCAAAGATTTTGCTTTCAAAAAATATTGACGATGTCTTGACAACCGCTGTTTTGTTGAATGTTGTTATTCATGCTAAGCAAACGTTAACAACTCTGAGGGAGGATGCTTATGTTTACGAATAGCTTTAGCCTCGACCCATGCAGTGCAGTTTTTATGTCATCATCTGGGTGCTTATGAACACCCCTGTGTGAATAAATTATGACTCAAAACAACAGTCACTGGTGTTTGAAAAAAGCACTGTAGTATATAGCGGGGTGGGCTATTATTATCTTCTTGGGGCCACATGATGGAATGAACCTGCAGCTATATTAATTGATATAGATTATATTTTATAGTTACTCTTTAGATTTTGATTCTTGCTTGGCCTAAGCAAAGCTGGACTAAAGCTAAATAATGCAAACATTCAATGGATAGGGATTCCCATTTATTTAAAGAGGGGGAGATAGTATGAAGTATACAGACGAGAAAAAGTCGGAGGGCCACATAGAAACATTAACGGCCCGTACTTTGCCCAGGTCTGGTATATTGTATGCTAGTATAGTTCCAATGCTGTTTCAGGGGGAGAGTTGGCATAAATGACTACAAGACTTGACTGTGAGAAGCAGAGATGGGGAACATTAGCATTTGGCTGTACACATTTAACTAAATTGAAATTAGCTTCAAACTACACCTAGATACCTACTCTGTCCACAGATAACATTTGGATTTTGCTGCCTTTAAAATGAATCTGACAGCATTTTTTTGTCAGTACCACGCTCTTTTATTATTCGAAACATGCCACTCATATCTCACCTGAAGTTACAATAGAGTCACGCTTCCATCCAGAAACATTATTTATAGCCGAAACCATTGCTATTGCTGCTGCTCCTGGATCCTGATGGACACATTGTAATAAATAATACTAGTCACATCTGATACTATCCCCCCATTATTATCATAGATTACATGTTTTGCGTTTCTGCCTATCAAGAGTGATCAGAAGAACGCATGGATGGAGGAGCGTGTCGGTGTAGCGTCTGGGCTCACACGACGGCACTTTGAGTTTGTGTGAGCTGACAGTAATTGCTGGCTGGCTGTGTGGGAGAACATAAGTCTTCATTAGAGGCTACAAGACAAAGAGCACTGCTTCAATATCTATTCCCTATGACGGAGGCTCTCAGCAGTGACGGCCACATCGGGCGAGCAGGGTTTGTGGGAACAAAAGGCATTTATTTGGTGATTGCTTTTTTGTGAAATGCCTGTTCAGAGTGTTAGTGCATGTATTGTTGTTGATGTAAAACTTCTACCTGATTAGATTTTTGCCGGGCGCAATATTTGTTCTTTCCCAGTGCAGATACAATATGTTGTAAACGCTGTGTCATATAGAGATCCCACCCAGACTTGAATTATGGTGTGAGGATTGTGAGAACGTAAAAGGTATAGTATGATTTTTATTTTTACAGGGACACTGTACAATAAACATTTGCCAAAAGAGGAGAGGCCAGGTTGTAGCAGGAGTGCACATTTACACCTCTAGTCCCCAAGCAGGATGTTGTAAAACAGTAAAATAAAAGTAGATGGATACACTACCATAAATTCTCAGACAGAAATTACAATTGAATTTACCATGCAAGTTATAATAAAACAACTCAGCTTCCCATTCTTTACTTTCTCTCTATACATACATTTATAATTAGCCTACTCACACATACACACACAAGACAATTTTTGAAAAACTACAGTGAATCTTCATAGAGATTGTTGTTGGACATTAAGTTGTATGATTGAAAGTACTCGTGTATATATATTGAGACCAAGAGATACATAAAATCAATATGGTCTGCACAATCACTTCATTAGCAGACTTCAGTTCAGTTAGCATAACTGTTTTCCATATGCGTTGAACTCCTTCTCACTGCTTTTGAGCTGGTTTAATATGCTCTGTTTCTTTCTGTATTTTGTCATGTTGCTCAACAAAACAAAGCAAACAACACAACAATTATGTATGGCATTTCAGTTTGCTCTTTTCTGCAAATCCACAAAAAATCTCATCTTTGCTGTAAAAAGCGTGTACATTTCAGCATATCCCATACAACTCTCATTTAATACGCAAAACAAAGCCATTGCAAACTATTGTCACATTATTTTAACATTATTCAGAAACCTTGCAATTCCTGAAAGACACCCACACGGCTCCGATTTTCAGAAAGCAACTCTGACGCAACGATCACACAAAAATAACAACAAAGCAGAATATTTTGTGCGCTCCCTGACATTTGCATTTTACGTGGGCATTACCTTTGCATCCACCACTATTCATCTGGTTTATGTTATTAGCAAACATTTCCCACATTAAAGATCCCCCACAGGTATTTCATGTTTTTCTATCCACAGCGCTAATCACTTCATGAGGCAAAAACGCAGATTCCTTGCAGCTGTTTGCGAGACGGCGCTTTGAAACCGCAACCTGAGTAATTGCAGATTGACCGCATTGTGGCCGTTCTGCGTGGTGTGGTGTTGTATGCGTGGAAGAGTTCCCATGGGCGGCAAACAAAGTGGCCAGAAGCGGACTCATTCTCAATAAGTAGGTTTTTTATGGAAATGGTTTGGAAGCAGGATAACGATAGTGGCCTATGTAAAGGGAGAATTATGTGGATACAACTGGGCACACTTTTTGTTATTATAAAGGTCTCTGTATGGTACTATAGGTTGTGTGTAGAAATGTATTTCAGTTGGAGAAGGTGCTGATACAAACACGTACTGTAATTATTCAATCTTTTTTTCTTTTTTTTTAAATTGGGCCTAGCGTTAGATTTGGGGCCAAAAAAGTCTGTGCGGTATAACTCATTTCGCTATTATCAAGTTAAGATTGGTATTGCTTGTGGTCTGATATTTTCTTACTTGAGCTGCCAGACGTTAACGGAGATGGCTCGCCTGCAAAATAAGATAACGAATAAAAAGTGAAATAAGATGGATAGGATAACTGTATTGTCATAGCTCATAATAGACCTATTGTAACCGTTTTATTGTCATATTTTGAAGGCGAGAAAGTTGAAGAATAAAATGGGAAACTACTAAATCACAAGTAATCCCATTCTTAATTTGGTGATACAGAAATCAATTATGCTATCTTCACCACGGTTGTGAAGATAACCTTTGGCTTCAGGAATTCACCAAGAGCTCACCAGACTCCACCCAATTCCTCAAGTTAGTCCAGTCTTGAGGAAATGATAGTTTCACAGAATGTGACATTTTGGGCTGATGTCAATACCGATGTTTAACATTACAACTTGGCCGATGTTTTTCTTTTCCTTATCTATTACTTGCTGGGGGTTTGCACTTTCTTCCTCTACCGGTATCTCTTCGCATGCGCCTATCATCTGCGAATGTCATTTCTATTTGCCAATGATAGTTAACAGGGCAAACATCGGCCAATACCGATGTTCAGCCGATGCATTGGTGCATCCCTAGTAAATGAGTGGAGCATGGTGTGCTCCAGTTTGGTTGGTTTTGAAATCCTGTGGCTACACCGACCTTTTCTGGAACCAGTTTGACACCCCTGATCTACACGGAACCAAATACCAATTTTTGTTATTATTATTATTATTTTTTTTTTACTGAACTGTATCATATTGTTTAAAAAAATATATCAGTGAATTGTCTCAAATGGAAGGCCCCCTGTAAAGAGCTGTGTATTGTATCAGCTGGCTCTGACCAACATGAGGATTATGCTTTCTGAGTATTGTCACCACTTTTGAACACCTTTTAAAGAGAATATAATTAGACCATACTTGATATGTACTGACAAAGAAATTGTGGAAATCTATGACAGTCAAAGAAATTATCCTGCCCAACTGATTTTTGACACGCATTTATTTTTGGCCTATTTTGGCCTTTTAAGAACAGCTTTTATAGACAGAACTGTGAAAATGAGCAGTACAGTTTCACATCTATTCCACTTCTTATACCTTCTGCTTTTACCCACTCAGTGCAGCAGGCTCTGTTATGCTTTGTACTGCCATGCTGCAGCAGTGGCTTGCAGTCACAGATTGGTCAGAATGTCTGTATTGATGCTAATTAGTATAGCTATTGTTCTCTTAACTTGGGCTGTGTGCTCCTCTTTCCTACTGTTCTATAACTTGTGATAAACAAATAAAGGATCTCTTAATCTTATTCTCCACAATCTGCACAGATTACGTGCATACATGCGATTCGTAATGCATCACTGGTGAATAAAGAATAACTAATGTTTTGGGTTTGAGCAGGGAAGGCTTTTAGCCCCTGTGCTTTGAGAGGTCTGTCTTTATGCGCACTCACTGCATCAGTCTCAAGCCATCACCACTTGACAATCTGTTCCTAGTCAGAAACCTCTCTCTGTCTCTCTCTCTGATCTGTGATGATCTGTGTCTACTACACACACTGCTTTACAACTCGCTCCACCTGTGTCGACGTCTTTTCATAATCGACATAATCATTCTTTCGCGTTTCAGCCTTTTAAAACAAAAACGTTTATGCAATAGCTCCTCGATATCCTCAAACGCCTCCACAGTTTTGAATCACTTTTATTAACGTAAACATACAGAACCCAACCGCGTTT